AAATAATCTGTTTTAATCTATTTGAATACGTAAACAATTTTAAAAACTTCCTTAACTTTAGGCTTAAAAATAATCTCAAATTACGCTAACATGAAAAAAAACATTTTCAATAATATTTTTCTTCATTTCAAAGCTACAATCATTTTATAAAAACATTGGCCCTAATGAAACTTTAACAAAATAAACTTAAGCATGTTTAGTATGAAAATTCAATGGAAAATCCTTATATAGTAAGAGTTTGAAAAGATCATTCCGCATGAAAAACAATATTTTTTAACTCAATTTTTTAAAATGAATTAATGTTCTTAATGTGCAACACAATATTAAACATAAACATACAGTTGTACTATTATGAGAAAATGGTATTCATATTAACAATTTTTACAATTTAACATTTACAAAATTTAATATATACAAATTATTATGAAATTTAAAAAAAACCGCGTCGAAGCATCTGTTGTGATATTATTAATTAATAACTTGACCCAAATATGCGGCATACTATGTACCGACCACTGTACTGAGTGTTTTTTTAATAATTATTGTCTAATATCCATTTCTTCATTTTACAAGTGTTATGATACTAATAATAGTTATTAACTTTTCATTATTGTTTATGAGTACTAACAATTTAATTTTTCTTAGTAATGAAACAATTGATTTACATGTATTATTACTTATTACATTTTATTGTGCAAGTTTGGTTTTTTAAAAATAATTTTTTTACGTTACAAATAGTATTATGATTAACAATGTCTTATAATAATGAACATAAAATTTTTATGGTTTTTTTTTCATTTTTTGATTAGATCTGGACAAAATTTTTCGTTTTAAATATTTTTCTGCTCCGTTTTTATAATTTATATGCGTGTAATAAACTAGAGATTATTAAAAACTGTATTGATTTTTAATGAAGCAGCAATGATTGTATTGGATTAAAACACTGAAAATTATTATAGCTTGAGGCGACGTTAATCATCCGACGTTGGACCGACAAATTAGCTTTGAACACCACTATATTATATTTTATCAATTAATAGGTTCTATATAGTATGTATAATTTTTTCTTTTTTAATTTTAACCTCATGAAGCCAAATACGTTTTGTGATGTACAACTGAGGCGATGGCCGTTTGAATAGCGTTTGAAACCGGTTTTACTGGAAAAATATACACAATGATTTCTGTATATAGAGAGAAAAAAGTCAAATCGAATAGTAATGACTAGTAAGACAAAGAATAAATGCTATATCAGATATACTAAAATTCAATGAATGAAAGACAATAAAATATATAGTCAAGGTTTGGAACATTCATCTAAAAAAGAATGCATTCTTATTCACATTCATTAAAAATTTCTTATAAAATATTTATTGAGCATGACAGTATATAGTTAATGGTAAAAACGCCACTCCCCATTAAATTTTAACTTCTATTTTTAGATGTCTAAAATGGTCCCCATTTCAACATATTAAAATTATAAGCAAAAAGATATTTATATGAAAAGGTATATATATCCTATAATATGTGTAGTTTAATTTCAGTAACTTATATATTGTAAGTTGTTAATGAAAGCTTTATATGTAAACACTTGTACAAAATATACAAATTAGATAATATAACAAAATGAATAATAACTATTATTATTATAGACTAATCATAAACATTTGTTATGCAATTTAAATAAATGAGTAAATGATTTTGATTTACAATAATTAATTATTGTAATATAGGAAGATATTACATTTAGACTATTAATTTTTTACTCTAAGTTAGACTAATTACAATGATTATATCTTATTCATATGATATGAATAAGATATAAAAATTTAAAAATTAAATAGACTTCCTAATATAAATAACACAATTAAAATATAGAAAAGTTTCCCTTACATCATTTTAACTATGTTTTATCTATATTAGATAAATCACAGTCATTAAAATAATACATAAAAACTTAATGAATCAATCATTCTCATATTTCAAATCTGAAACAGTTTCATGTTTTAGTATGTTACCATTTAAAAAAATCTAGATATAACCCTTGTAAGGACATAAAAAAAGTCAAACATACTAAATATTGATAGTCGTTAGTAAAATTTTACTTGCGCATGTATTCAATTTTTTTTGATCATTTATTATATTTTATTGAAATATTATATTTAAAAATATTTTGGAAGTTGAAAGTTACCCCTTATATTTTTAGTCGTAATGATCAAAAGTTAAATGGGAACCTATTATTAATTTTTACTATTAAATGGACAATGATCTGAATAAAATGTTGTCTGGTTAATGACCAGTTTTTTATTATTACTTTTTAAGGTATTAGCATTTGAAGATTTAGAAATAGTGTAGAACGGGTAAATATTTAGTGTCACTTTAATTTTACTAAAAACGCACAGTTAAGAATTTTTCTTAATTTGTGTCTTAATATTTCGCCTTAATTAAAAATTATAACTACAAATTAATAGGAATAATACAATACTGGTTTTTGACTAATCAAAATTTTATTTAGACCATTCACTATTTAATAGTAAAATAATATTAATAGGTTTCCATTTAACTTTTAAAAGTTACCCCTAAAATTTTTTCTCGGCAATAATATATATATATATTTTTAATTATTAATAAATCATACATTATACCGTGAATTTCATTTATCCTTCAAAGCATTATCCTACAAAGTTGTAAGTGAGGAAGAAAATGATTTTGTTGATGATCAATAGATTCATGATGTGATCCCCGTGCGTGAAATTTTCACTAGTAGAATAGAGACATCTTAACTTGGCAACTATTTAATTTAAATATAAAATAAGAAATTTTATAAGAAACATAACAAATATTTGATTTTTTCTATTAATCTGCTTTATATAGAGAAATAAATCAGCCGTGAAGCGAACCTAATCTTTATGGCGGCACTTCTTTTAAACAAAGTCTATTTTGTTAATGTCAATTTTCATAACACCAAGTTTTGAAGTTCGTTTACATTAGAATATTATGAAACGTTCTTGATTTTTATCGTTTTTGTTATTTCCGTCCAGATAATTGTATGAGAAACTAATAAGAATATTGTTCATAAAGTCATATAGAATCAGAAATAGCTTAGATATTTTCATATAGACTATAAATTATTTATTATAAAACTATAAAATAAGACTATAAAATTATTTATTTAAAACTAAATACTAAAACCAAATTGTCTTTATAAAAGAAGAGATTTAACCATGATATATTTACATTAATTATAATAATGAAGATAAAAAAAAAATGTCTTACTCTACTCAAAATAATATACTTAACTTTCTTTTTGTCTATTTATAAATAAACATTTGAAGGCCTGACAAGTAAAAAGTTCCAAGTTCAATAACTTAATTTTACAGAAGAAGAAAATAAGAATTTTTGGACTTATGACAAACGTATTTTTGTTTTCAAGATAATTCTTATTCTATACATCAATTTCATTTATTTTTCTTCAGATTATTAGGACTTAAAGTCACTATGTTTTCCACGAAAAATTTATGTATTGGATTTATTACCATTTCCGTGTAATTGTCTCAATTATGTAAAACATTACGTCCATTTTTTTTCTTACCACTATGATATTTTAACTATAATTGTTGAAACCAAACATATTAGATACTATGTTTAAAATAAAATACACATACTATGCAGACGAAATTGCAAAATCATAATAATAATAGATTAAAATGAAAATTATAAATTCAATATAAGGAATAATTTAATTTTTCATTACAAAATTTAAAAAAAAAATGAGGAAATCTGCTTGGGGGGTACTAATGTCATCCCAAGAAGTGCTAAATAGCCAAAGCTTTCTTTTATTTATTCCTATATATATATAATATTTATTGTGTATTGTATAAAAATTACATGCAATGAACAATTAAAATAAAAATTCTATTATAAACTTATATTTAATAAATATATTATTTTATAATTATATAACCATCTTATAAATAAGATGATTTTATAATTGTGTTAACAGTTCTCATTGTTTGAAGTTAAAGATCAAGGATAATTACAATATTATGTTTGAGTTACAACATTTCTAAATATTCATCTCTAATGGTAATTTGGGGAAAAGGACACATTAATATATTTACCATACAAAGTTGGTTAGTAAGGGAGGTGGAAATAAGATAATACGTAAATGTACAAGGTAGTATAGACCTTTATTTGTTTAGACTATATACCTATTATGTTCTTTTTTCTCGTAACTAAATAATTCTCAAAAATCATTTTTGAACTATTACTGGTATTTTTATATTAAAATTTTTATTCCAAAAAGCACATAAAAATAGCCATTTTGAAATAAAAAAATGTGTTTTTTTATTTATGGTAAAAAATGATTTCAACGAAGTTTTAAAAAGCAATAATTATTAAAAAAAATAGTTTACTTATAACTTTTGATCAAAAGTTATTTTTTAATTTTCATTTGCGTTGAAGCATAACATGATCATTTTAAATACTCATATTACCTTTGTATACTTTTCTGTAAACTTTTATTATAAGGAAATTAGTTTTTTTTTTTTTAATTTATTATCTTTGTTTTTTTACCAGTACGACTGCTAATCTTAATTAGCATATATATTCAATTGAATCATTGATCGGTTTAATAAATCAAATAAATAAATATATAAAGAAATTATGTATAAGTGATTACTCGACTAAATACGTGAAATTTTCAACATTTTATTTATTCAATAGTTATAATGAAAATTTCCCTTATTTTTAGAAAAATTTCCCAATATTTCCATTTTCAAAACAGATAGTTATATTTTTGTCTTGTATTATTTTTTCTTTAACTTTAAAAATGATATGAATTTTTATAAAATGTATGAAATTTATATCTTTTATATTTTTATTGTTTGGATAGATAATTTTTCATATCCAACTAATTTACTAAATAAACAAAAGAGCTTATTGAAAAAATAGTAACATCACATAAATATCAATTTTAATATAAAGTTAAATTATAGCTGTACCTGGAATTTACTGATGGAGTAATTTCTTCTTCAAGAAAAGGTTTTCTGAAAAAAATAAATAAAATTTTTTAGCAGTGAATTATTTTTAAAATTAGTTATTATTGACACTTAAGCAGGCACTAAAATTAGATTTTTTCCTAGGTTTGAATTCTAGTTAAGGTTTTATAAAAATTATATTAAGAGACCAGTTTGGTTTGGTTTTTATTATGCTTAATTTATATCTTTTTGTTGTAATTGATAAAAATTAATTAAATAATAGACTCGTTGTAGTCTCAGGATTTTGTTTTAGATGGAGAAATATAAATATAAATGATTTAATATAATATCCAAAATACATGTCCACAATATACCAATTATCGTCATTGGAGTTTCTACCTCATATACTATTTTCATGAAAACGCCCATGTTAAAGACTTTTTTACGTCAAGATTTATTAAACGTAAGATGAGAAAAGGGCTATGCCCTCCAAACCATTTATTACTACTTAGAAATATTTTTAGGGAGGGGAGAAAATAAAAACACCAATAATGTTATACAACTTACCCTACTTTTATGAGTATAAAAATCGCCACTAAAACAAAAAAATAACAGAATAAAAAAAATATGTGGGGTACAGAGAGGGATACGGCGCAGACTCTTAGTCAGTGTCGTCTTTTACGGCTCCCCTGTCTGGACGGATACTCTTAAGTATTTGCTTAAGACAGAGAAGTTCTGCGTAGGGTGCAGAGGCCAGTCACAATCCAGACCGTTTCGTCTTACCCAACGGTATCCGGAGTACGGCAGACGTTCTGCCGTGAATGCCACCCGCTGGCCTATTGCCTGAGAAACAAACCGCCGGACATGAGATTCACTGGGAACACAGTCAGTTGTTTGATCTCGAGACCGGGCTGACTCTTAGCCAGATGACCGTGTTCCAGTGGTAGGAGCGTTTCCAAGAAGAGGAGTCTAGAAGAGCCTCATAAGACCCAACCGGCTGCACGGATGAGGCGATCGGACAAACAGTCAGATGATGCATCGTCTCATACAAGTGATGTTTGGCTGTTTTAACGAGTATATATGATATTTGTAAAGCAGTCGCGCCAACATGTAACTACTATACGGATCGCCCAGGAGAGGCAAACAACGCTTTGCATATTCTCTTCCGGTGTGAGGCGTGGGGGTCGGGATGCTTTGGAATCCCGTATAAAGTTCACATTCAGTGTCGAGTCCATAGTGGTATGGTAGGAAGACGAAGGCGTGGTCACTCATCAAGGCGTTCAATGAATCGGTTATGTGCTGTGAAGAATCGGTCGAACGCCTGCGATAGAGGCAGTTATGCCGCCCGGCTTAGCATAATCTGAGTTGCTGTTTTAGGTCAGCGCCTTAGTGTAGAGTATTTGAATTTATATGTTTGTAAGTTATTAATACCAATTCAAGTACCTACAAAAAAATTACTAAAAAATCGCGGAGATTTTTATGGAAATGTTGGGGGTTAAATATTTCTAATGTTTTTTAGTTTTAAATTAATAATATGTTTAATATAGTTTTAATTTAGAATAATGTTAGCCACAAGTGATTAGTTTTTATTATATAATATAATACGTGGGTGTAGTCTGTGAAATGGACCCTTCTGGGATATGGATAAAAGGGGAGGCCATGCCAAGTTGTGTACATAACAACAATATGTTTTTTAGAGACATCGTGGGCTACCCTGAAGTAATACTTAACGACAGTTTCATGGCACCCTACAGTCGGAAAGAAAAAAAATTTAACCCAAGATTTTCCACTACGATGAACAGTTTTGGGAATTTATCAGGAAATAAAAGTATGAAGTAAGATTTGTCCTACTGATGACTTAAGTTTTCATTACACAATACCTCACGAAAAAGCACCTATTTAAAAAACATTTAACATCTTCAATTTGTTTGAATTTGGGTTCTTTTAGTTCATAGATTAATTAAGTTGGACCAATGAGACAAGAGAATTTTTATAGATAGACACTATAGTAAAATAATAAAATTATTTGGTCCGTTTAGAAATGATAAATTGATTTTCAATTTTACTAATATATTCAATTTTACTATACTGTTGTACAAATGGTACCCGGCATTGTAAACAACAGTGTTGAGTGATATCTTACAATAATTAATATTACCATCATAAATCGCTTCATTACAAATATGTAAAAAAAAAAATTAAAAATCTAAGGATTGGTCTCCCAACCTCCCCTGTTATTATAAATATAAAATAAGTACTAATTTGTGTAATATACTCTTTAGAAAAGTTTTGTAGAATAATATAAATAGCTTTTCTGAATTTGGCATTTTTAAAACAAAAATCGTACATTTTCTAAATCTTTATCATTCATTTACAAAAAGAAGATAATGCCTGGGAAAAACTTCTTTCTGCAAGAAATATATTAGGTTAGCTATATTTAAAGATGACATAATTTCAAGAACATCATTAAACATTATAAACTAATGAAAAAATTATTGACAGTCACAAAAATTAATAAATAAAAACACATAATGGTAAAATTAATACCTGGCGAAATACATTTATTGTTACAGAAATAATAAAGAAATCTTAAAAATTAATTTTTGTCACATACAGCCTTGGATATAAGTCACAGAATTCTATACGTCAGAAATAAAAGATCCTTGATTGAATAATTTTAGATTTATATATTAATTAGATACTATCATGTAATTTGAAAGCTTGAAAAAATTGTTAATTTAGACTTAGTTAATTTTTAAATTATTTTAGTCCATGATTGTAGTTGCAAATTCATTTTTTTTATTTTTATGAGTGTTCATAACACGAGTTTCAACATAATTAACAAACAACAGTTTTTTTCATCGTCTCAGCATGAGTTTAAGTCTATATACTTTACGGTTACTTTCTAAAAACACCACGTAGATGAAGAGCATATTACTAATGGACAACAATTAACCAAACGACGGTGGCGGTTTCGGAATGTAATCGGCAGCGGCAAGTTAAACCATACAATCGTTTTTAACCAAACATTATACTTTTGTAAACATCCATTATTGACGTGATACTCATTTTTTAGATTTTGGTAATTTTTAAGAGCTACACCCGTTAATAATAATCCTCATGTTACTTTAAAATGACTGCTTGAAAAATTATTTAATTTATTACTCTTGTCATACTACCCATGATAATTTATTAGTGGGTAGACATTTCATCAAAAAATCGAGTACATGTAAATATTGAAATTTATACTTAAGTTAGGCTCATCTAGTGAGTAACTATTTCTAACTCGATTAAATAAGTTCATTAAATATATATATATATATAGATATATCGATTAAGATTTAGATAAGACACTCATTTTTTTAAACTATTAAATGTTGTTAATTTTTGTAAAGAAAATATTTTTATATTATAAAAAAAAACTTAACAATAATATGTAGATAAATATTGTTTTTCTTCTCTTCAGGATTAAACTTAAACTTTAATTTTCTTATATGAGAATTAATATTTTTGGTTTGATTTTATTATAGAAAAATTAACATTTTCAGATAGTTTAGTTCTCATAATATTTGTCTGATACAGCGTTTGGTTTTTAAATTATTTAAAGATTTATATTTTAAATATAAATTCATCATTAATTTATTTATTTTTCATAATAACAAAAGCAACAATATGTTTGAATGGGTCATAAATTATTATCAGTATTTATCTTGATATCATAAATGACAGACGGGAAAACAAAAATTGTCAATAAATACTTGTTTATGTGACATGAAGAAATGACGACTACTGTATTGTAAATAGGTAAATTAATTAATAGAAAAAAACTGTTTTTTATAAAAACAAAAATGTTTCTAATTTTTTTGTCTATCATATTATGAAACTAAAAATAAGGGTCCTCATTAAATAAAATTAAAGTTTTGGTTTTTAACTCTGATGGGATAAAAAAAAGTTATTATAAAAATTACTATAAATTTTTTTAAACAATTTTTTCTTTTACGAAAATTGTAAATTTATTTTGTATTTGGAACTTATTATAAAAGGAATTAAGCTAATGTACACCATTAGTTTAAAATCTGACAGTAATTTACATTCATAAAACACTTTCATGCGAATGTACATAATAAAATTGACTAATCTTACTAAGCTGTTCATATTTCAGATCGAATTATATATAATATATTATTGTATGTGCTTCCAAATACAAGTAAATAGATTTTATTAAAAAAAAATAAATTACAAAAAATTGTACAATTTATTATAAAGTTTGGCAGGATTTTTCTCTACCATGACAATTGTTTTGCATAACATTTATATTACATCACCTTTAAGTTGATATAAATTTAAAGGACACAGGATTTCCGGAATATTTTAAAAACTAAAAAGAATTTCTTTCTTTTTTTTTATTACAGCGCACGTCGTCACGATTGAACAAACATTGAATTTAAGCTAACAATTTAATTTAAAAAATAAATATAGAAATTTAAATTGAAAACTTTTTGTAATATTTTCACTAATAAAAAAATGTCGAGTAAATTTTTTTTTTAACTACGAAGTTAGAATATTTAACTAGATAAAATCGGGCTTTTTTGACATATTCTTTCTCAGTTTCGATAGAAACTGAGCATACGTATAAACAAATTAGAGACATTATTTAGAAGGGGAGCAGAGTGTGTATTTGCACCAAATTTTTAAATAACGCCTTATTTGGCCTGCTCATATACAAACAATGCACTGATATACTTATATAATAGAAATTAAATTTGATATCGAGTTAATACTATTTTTAAAATTTTAACGTAAATATTTCCAAAATTTTTCAAATATTTTGACAACTATCTATCTGTAATCTATACCACAAATACAATATATATGATCAATTGTTCAAATTATAATAGCGGAGCACGGAATAATAGTCCAATAATATTATTGATTACACAGTTCACGTTACATTGTTATAATAAGAAAGCAATACAATTGTTAATCTCATCAAAAAGGAAAATATCTCTAACCAGGTTTTGTAAACTATTTCCAAGTCGAAAATATGTGAGACTACATTTAGATTACTC